AACAGTCAGACGACTTGCTCAGTGTCAGGATCCAAGTTATGCTTCTTGCCCGATGGTCGACCCTGAAGGTGGAGGCATTATGTTCCTTCACTGCGTCACGCCTCTGAAGACAGTGAGCCTCCCCCAAATATTTTCCGCAGTTATGATTCCTATTCAAGGCATGACGTAATGATGCTCCAAGATGCACCTTACTGCACCGCTGACAGTAGCTACGTGCGGGGAAGGCAATAACACGCATAACAAGAGGTAGAAACAGTCCGTCATTCAGCAGTCCGCTCCACCTCGCCTAATGATCCCAAAATATCCAGGCGAGGGATTTCCTCAACAGTAATGAGTTGATCTAGATCTGCAGCTCTTAGAGCGGGGGTTTGTGACGCCGTGTAGCCGGGAACAAGCTTAGCGACGATTAGGCTACACACACTGCTTTAATTTTCACGGAAGAAGCATACGCCAAGCAAGTAACCGGCAAAACACAGTGTCACATGGCAGGATGCGACGTGTTCTTCAATATAAGTTCACTGCACACGGAACAATCCTTAGTTACAAATGTAACGGGCTTTAACGCAGGCTACATGGCGTCCTGCACAACTTCAGGATGAGCTTAACGATTGGAAATAAAAAGAAAATACGTGCATTCGCGTTTCACATAAAGCGGCAAAAGTTTCTCTCGGAAAAAGACTTCAATCTGTTAAATGGGGAGGGGCCGCTGCAATAGAGGGCACCAGTCGTACAAGGGCAAAACTGCAGCTTACAGCACAGCTGTAGCCATATACACCACGTACTTCGCCACGACATGCACTCATAGCTTTCTTTACAATTTTCAGAATAACGTCATATTCCGAAACAGCGTTAAGCAGCTCATCTTAAATGGATTACGTTTCCAACTCGGTGGGAACAAGAGACAACCAACAGCGGTGGTTATGAAGAACACTATCTTCTGGAATATAACGCCGAAACGTCGAGTTACTTTCAGTGCCCTACACGACGTCATATCTCAGAAGATAGTAGTCTTCAACAGAGAATGATCAGTAGACGAAAGGGAGGACCACACACCCAAGGATAAGACCTAAGTAGGATGTTTACACTGTGGCATGTAGGCCCATTGCTAGGCAACGACCGCGACAAAAGCAGCTATACACTACTCGTTCAAAGGAAATGGCGGCAACATATTCGTAAGACTCAACAATGGAGTAAATGGGAAGCGGTGTTCTCTACGCGGTGCGTGCGATGGCTACGTGATGCAACAATGGAACTGTTGGGAGATGTGTTTTCTGTGCGGTACGTGCCGAGGTATTATAAACAGGCCAAGTCTTACATGTTTGGTGAGTAGTGAGAAAGTTGCCGGCCAGTAAGGATGTCAACACTGAAGCTGTGGAAGATACCGCGTTGCAAGCCGCTACCGGGCGACAACCGGTGATGATAAGCAGACTGAGAAGACCTAGTGCGTGCTGTAGTGAATTGTAGAGTGTGTGAATTAGCGATAGCGCTATAGTTACTTGTAGTTACGATTTGTTAAGTGCGTAATAAATCCAATTACCAATCTAAACCCCGCCTACAGTCATTCATACGCGTAAGAATATGGTATTTAGGCGGAATCTATGCTTGAAGGGTCATATTCAGGATACTGCTTGCTCACTTGCAGATGCAGTTCCGGACCGAACGCGGAAGTTTCTCACAGAACAGGGAGTTCTACAGGCAACGCTCGGTTCAAATTTTGGCCAGAACATCCGCTGTACTGACTCAGTCTCTTTGAGCAAATGCTGGGAAGGCCAGAATCACTTCCTTCCACATCCTTTGCAATTCATCAGTCGCCCCATAACCTCCACTCTCCACACTCACAACAAAGGCGCGACACAACCACATACAGCTTCAGTTCAATCCCACTGCGCCCAGGGCTCTCACAACGGTCACTTCTGGGAACGGATGTCGTGACCTTAAGTGAACAACAAGCAAGAAAAAAGCAAGTTTTTCGTTATTTTCCTTGCTCGCAGCTGGCAAACACCATGACAATGCCTCAAACTGGGGCAGGACAACTTCCTACCACAACCTCGCCAATCTAATGAACATATATAATTTTTACCGTCAACGGCCCGGCCGCCTTACCCACGGCACCCATTATATAGGAGGTTTGGTGAGTCCTAAGGCCGGTTCGGGCTCTGTGGACAGAAGAAAAATCTTATCCCAGCCAGGAATCGGACCCCGTCAGTCCGTTCCGTAGCTCGTCACTATAGCAACTGAGCTATCCCGGTTCCTTCCATAACCAATTCTTACCTAAATTCTGATGTGGCTATGCGAGGGTAAGATTTAAAGGTTTCACAATGGTAAAGATTTACACTACTGTCATCTGAGTTATGACACCGTGTAGTTTGGTACGTGGCAAAAAAAATCGCGGGAAATGACAGGATAGAAACTATGAAGATAAAGGCAGAATGATCTCTCGCAAACACCGATACTTACCAAGCTACACGGTGTCATTATCTTAAAAATCACAATTCGATATATGAGACTTACCAAGCGATACATTTACAGCACAGCGCCATGACACACAAACCAATCGCACTCATCAGCGAATTAACTATTCAGTAAATTAATGGATGAGAAACTGACTGCTGTGTTTATAAAGTACGGGCTGTCAAACGATTTTAAATATTTAAACCGATTAAGTATTTATCATAGCAAATCGAAATGATGGTCAAGATTAAATTACGAGCAGATTACGTTTCGGAAATGTTTTCTGCCGTTCAGCACAGAATCTTGTAGCTTCGCAAATACAATAAAGAGGGAATATTAAAATATACAAACATGCCGTATTACATGTTGTTTTATGCGGGTGTTAAGGCCATAATGGACGAGATACTGGGTTCGAACATCGGTCAGGACACTGATTCCCATGCCCAAAGTTCCTCACCGCTGTCTCTCCTGGCAAACGGTGGGACACCAAAAGACGCCATTAATCCCGTAAAGTACACCACAAAAAATACAGGTGTGAAACTTGGTACTTCACTCTCACAGACAAATGCAGAGCTTTGCAGAACTAAAGACAATCAGCCCTTTCCACAACCCAAGGCTGTCTTACGCTAACATGACGAAAGGCTCAGCTGTTCCAGGTATAACTTCATTGCCTTCGCATCTGCCATGCCTTAACCACGAAGCTTCTGTGTTCATTTAATTGTTTAACTATAGTTCATTGTTGAGGCACTGTGCTACAAGCCGGAAGGTCGCGGGTTCGATTTCCGATGTCACTAGATTTTCTTCAATTGACCTAATCCTTCCAGCCGCACTATGGCCCTGGTGTCAACTCAGCCTCTAACATAAATGAGTACCAGGGATCCTCCTGGGTATGAAGGGCAGAACGATGCTGTCCATAGCTGATGTTATATAAAATAAAATTGTTGGATGTTCAGTGAATAATGAGTTGGAAAATAATGTTTAAGGAAGAGGTCGTAGCCTGACTTAAGCACTTTCCAGACATTCTCCTTTAGTAACTACAGAGAACCACAAGGATCCTCAAGGACGATGATCTGTCTACAGGTACCAAGATCTGAACCCTGGACTTCACAAATACGAGGCAGGAGTGCTACTACTGAACCGGGGCGCTCGGTAACACTGTATCTAGTACGTGACGTTTGCTTCTTGAAGGACGCTTCCAACGTCGAAACTGTACAGCATCGGCTGCTAGGACGTTAGAAGTTTGACAAAGTCGATAGGATTTGGAAGGAATCGATCGTTGCCTGAGATACTATCCCAGAATTTACATGGAAAAACTGCGGAAAACCACGCTAAACGGGCCCGAGATTCGAACCGTGCACGCCAAAAATGAAAGCGTAGAGGTGAAGGATTATAACGTTTAGTAGCAAAAACCACAAACGGGTATTTACACATTCTGAAGCTCATTCAAAACACAAATGCACACAAAACGACATCTCCATGTTAGTTGCTGTTGTGGGTCTTATTTGTAATTTTGCTGCTTCTTCCCTGTGGAGCAATAAGCCCCAAGCAGGGGCCGGATTACTGCAGATTGTTGGGGGCGCTGAGTCCTGTCGCGTCGGCCGCTAGCTGCTGGTCTCCAAGCAGCCGAGGTCATCAAATGACGTCACCGGTTTCCATAGCAACCGAGCCAAATGACGCGCATCCAAAGCTGCGACCCCATTATCGTCGGCAGGTTCCACGCTTCGCAATTCCACGGCACTTGTGCGCACAAATTTCTTTTAAAATAATGATAAAAGATTAAATATCCAACGTTACGACTAAGGGAAAGATCCCGGACAAGTCTGCAGTAAGTTAATCCTCCCTCATAATAGGGTAAAGCTGTCCTTATTAAGCACTACGCCATGAAGGCGTATGGGCGTGTGGATGTATAGATCCAAACTCTTCTTGACCTCGGTACTAGTTCGAAGTGAGTGGTCAGCTTCACGCCCGGGCAAAGAGCCCCCGGTACCCACTGGACATGAGGTTTGGTGGACCCCAGAGGCGGTCTGGACGACCCGGAGAAGTGAAAATTCTTGCCGCCATCGGGGCTTAAGCTCCGACCCCATTGGTCGTCCAGCCCGTAGTCAGTCGCTATACCGACTATTAAGAAATTCAGTTCCTACCTCACAGGAAACACCATGTTTCGATAACAGAAAAAAAAAAGCCGGCTTCTGCTGGTTGGGCAAATAACCGCTGTTTCTTGTGATGACATCCAGCCTTCTGTCCGATGGGTACCAGGGGCTCTTTCCACGGGGGTAAAGCGGCATGGGCGTGAAGCTGGTCACTCAGCAGAACGGCATCTTCGGTGTGACGGTTTTGGTTCCCATCGTGTTCCGAAGACGAAATCTATTCCGTCATACACTGACGTAATGATTATGTTGCTACCTCATAATTATGCACTCTCAAAAAGTTTTCGACGCAATAACACACAATAGTGTGGGCCATTTTACTTGGCCAGTGAAGGTCGGGCTGAGGTGACGTACTGAGCCTCCCCGGTTATAAGACTGCACTGCCGTGCTGCTGCGTCTTACCTGATGAGAGAAGGGTTGGCGGCCCGCGGGCCCTGGGCCAGGCCCCGGCGGTGTCGGATAGCGGGGCGGATACGGCGGATACTGGTGCTGTTGTTGTGAGCCCGACTGTGGCACGGGAGGTGGTGGCTGCTGCTGCTGCTGTTGGGGCTGCGGCTGGGGTCCAGGTTGCTGTTGTTGCGGAGGAAAACTTCCTCCAGGCCCGGGAGCTCCGGGACCCGCACCTAAATATGGCGGCTGACTTCCCCGAGGGACTCCACCCTGCAAGCACAAATATCAGGCATGTAGGGTGCCGTTACTTCAGCAACCTGTTCCACTGACGTATCAGTCGTTCCGTCTTTAATGCAACTCTGTTCTCAGCCTGTCCCCAATTTAAAATCACAATCGGCCTTACTTGGCCATCCTCAGGCAACGGTTCACTTTCCGAAACCGCCAAATTCCCCTAGTAAGTAAAAGGTAAAGCTATCCCTGTAACAGGCCGTGGAGGCCCATAGGGTTGTGGGATGTTGAGGTTCCCACATTTTCTGGACAATCGGCTGACAGACGGCGGTGAGGTTGTCAGCCTTACGCGCCGGCCGCCCTTTACCCTCAGGAAGATTCCTGGTACTCATTTATGTCAGAGGCTGAGTCGACCCCAGGGCCATAGTGCGGCTGGAAGGATTAGGTCAATTAAAAAAAAATCCAATGACCTCATCGGGACTTGAACACGCAACCTTCGGGCTTGTAGCATAGTGCCTCAACGAACTACGCCACCGCGTTCCACTATTTCAATGCTACTGCACTTCCGTCGTCCACACTAAAATACATTTGTTTGAAAACATAACTCTTTGTCCTTTCCCGTGCTATTTTCCTCCTGCGGTGTCCGTGTTCTTTTATTCAGCCTGAGGTAGTGCAGTGTGGCGGTTTCGAGAAGTGAACAGTTGCCTGAGGATGGCCAAGTGAGGCCGAAACCTGTAGCAGTGATTGTGATTTTTCTTATTTTACATTAAGGACACACTGTGAACAGAGCTGCATTAATAAACAAGGAAGTGACTGTGTATATGTGGGATATCAGGTTCTCACAGCTGTAACTATCTTGCGGGATATAATGCCCAGCAGCCCGGTGAAAGTCAACAGAAGTGAGAAAATGAAAGTCCATTAAATCTAATAGATCGCTAGTCTATGCGAATATTGTATTATTATTATTATTATTATTATTTTACTACATAAACCGCACTGATTCGTATTTTGTTGTTGGCCTCTGGGAAAAAAGTTTTCACGTAAATAAATATGAATACCATTATTATTATTATTATTATTATTATTATTATTATTATTATATGCGACGTTTTCCTTGTGCTCAATAATTACGCAGTAAATCACGAAGATGTATGAGGTGGAAGTATAGTTCACGATTTCTTCAACTTGATACTAAATGGAAGGCGAGTGGTCAGCTTCACGTGCCGACCAATTAACCCCTGTGGACACATCCCGACAGCAGGCAGGAGTGCGCCAGAGCCGGGTCTGGACGCCTCAGAGATGAGAAACACTCACTGACCCTGCTGAGTATCGCATCGCGATTCCTCGGTCGACCAAATCCTGGCCTAGTCTCTTATATTATTATTCTTAGTAGTAATATCATTATCTTCATATTTCAAGGTATCCTGTCCGTGAGCACTATATGGAGGTGAGTTGTCAGCTTCGCGGTCCGGCCGCTTCACCCCCGGTATTCATTGGATAAGAGGCTGGGCACCAGAGCCAGTCTGGACGCTGTGGAGAAGATAAAATCTGGCCGTCCAGCCTGTTGCTATACTGACAGTGGCTGTTGATATGCTGCGCTTCCTTCTAGTTTCCGTTTTGCAGTGCTTGCCCGAAATTGCCTACTTGTGGCTTATGTAACTGAACCAAGCCTGCTGAGCTGCTTGCTTTTGCTTCTTACTTTTCGACACTGAAGATGGAGATAACAAGATCCTCCGAAACGTTGGCGAACTTCTATCGTACCACACGACGTCACACGCCAGAAATCGGAGCCCTTTACAACACATTTTGTCGTCTACGTGACACAACTTTCACTTGTACACCAATAGCTACACTTTGTTTCTTATTTTTCGACACTGAAGATGGAGGTAGCAAGATCCTCCGAAACGTTGGCGAACTTCTATCGTATCACACGACGTCACACGAAAGAAATCGGCGCTCTTTACAACACATTTTGTCGTCTAAGTGACACAACTTTCACTTGTACACCAATAACTACACTTTGTTTCTTACTTTTCGACACTGAAGATGGAGATAGCATGATCCTCCGAAACGTTGGCGAACTTCTATCGTACCACACGACGTCACACGCCAGAAATCGGCGCTCTTTACAACACATTTTGTCATCTAAGTGACACAACTTTCACTTGTACACCAATAACTACACGATGTCTGAAGTCTGGATGTTTCGTGTATAGGGTGTTTGCGAAGCCTACTCTCACACCCATATCTGAAACGTATCGAATGTCACAACGTGAAGACAGTTAACTAAGGTCGCATCAACTGGGAATCCCCAATCTGAATATCGATATATGAAGTCGACTGCGGTAGGCGTACGTGTCCTCACACTGTCGCGTTACACATGAACGAGAATACACGCACGAGCCTGCATGTAGATAAGCCTGGTCATACATAATTCCTGGGTTCCCACGTCCGCGCACAACTTACTACGTTCCAGATTTATACGTCACGGAAGTTAAAAACAGTTCATTCACATTTTTATCTATATAACAGCTTATAAGTGTGGGATGGGGGGTGGGGAGGGTAAAGACCTTGAAAATTACGTCATCTAATTTGTATTCCTTCCCCTTAAATCCTCTTCCCACTAAACCCAACCCAGTCACAGTGATTCCCCTCCGCCCCCCTTCAGCGCGCAATATGACTCATCAATACACGGAAGTGTCTTTACGAATTGCTCCACACAACAGTGCGTCGCAGGGCGCCCCGCAGAATTCATTTCGAGGGACGCGGTCACCGCTACCAAAATTACAAAACTGAGAACGTACTTGTCTTTTAAGAGCTGCTCTATCTACGCAATGTTTCAACCCGAATCCGATTTGAACTGCATAAAAACCGAATGTTAAATTACATATAAATGAAACAGTCGTTCCCATGTACATAACAAGAAGTTGTGGTAAGAATCGCATTTCCTTTTACACGACACGGGGCACATTCAACAATTTTACTGTAGCGTGTATCCGTTGCCACGACAACGTGTCTACCGAGCCACTGCCTAGCAACTATAGGAGGATACACATTCACACACACAGACCGACGGGGTTATGAAGTACGCCGTTGAGATGATCTCACGTGTCATGATATACATACCATAGACTGGTTCGAACATTCAAATGTTAATTGGAGGGGGGTACACAGACAGCAAGGCGATCTCATGAGCCTAGTTATATATACAGTAGAACTTGGTTATAACGTCATCAAAGGGACCTAAAAATAGTGTTGTTATAAACGAATGCCGTTGTAACCGAAATGGGCACTTCCACAGTAGCCTTATATTAGTCACGTAAAAATCTACCAAAACCGAGTTAAAATGTTGCATTTTTTAGTGAAATACGTAGTTAAGTACAGACTAACGTAACATTAACGTGGAATTGCCCAAATGTGTAATATCAAAGACATATTACAGCGCTTTTCACTGACAATACACATCGCACTAATACTGTATATTAAAGGTAGGCCTACTCACCAAATTACAGTAGATTACATCAATTGTTGTGCCTTACTGTACCTAGATACGAGTACAGTAATCAGTTATCTTCATCTGTTTCCTGTTACTTTCCCAATACACACTTTCTAAATTACGTTCAATGTCCATATCAGAGAAATTCAGGAATGAAAATGACGTTACATACGAGGTTGATGCATTTGTGCATGTCGTACTAAGCAAGGTATAAAAACAGTTGCTTTATGAGGAATTAGTTCGTACCATTGAATATCTGACGCAATAGACAAGGTGTCGCAGAACCCGATGTTGCTATAACCAAGTTTTACTGTATATATTTTCAAAATAGAAAACGTAGACTAGAAATGCATTGAAAACTACACAGTAGACTCGCAACTTACGCGGAGGTTACGTTCCAAACACGGCGCGTACATGCAATTTCGCGGAGTCAGTATTGAAGTCGTCCAATTTAAGGTAGTGATTAAATTGGGATATTAAGAGTAAGACTTGGTGGAAGCGGAGTATAAACAGCTGACACTCATATTCCCGCGGCACGGAATAGTGGTGCCACAGTGTCAGTTGTTACGTGAAGCCAATATAAATACATATATTACCAGCAAAGGATGCCGCTCATCGTATGAAATATTACACTTCGCAGCTGCAGTCCAGCGAGGTCTCAGGAATCGTTGGGAATATCGCTGGACCAGCGGCTTCGAAGATATAATTGTAAGATGGTATTGGAGGATTCAAAGTTGTAACACCCGCCTTCCGTTTGAATGATCGAATGAGAAGCGATTATGGAATATATCTGCGAGGGTGGGAGAAT